CTCTTTAAGGATTTTGGTGGGCATTTGGTCATTCATTGCGTTCACTGCCGTATTTTGTTATATAATAGCGCAGCTGAACCCAAATGTGTTTGATTCTCATAGCCTGACATGGCAAAATTTTACTCAGCACAAGAACGTTTCAATCATTGCAATATGTAACGCTTGTCCGCGTTAACGCAAAGGTAAGGGGTGATTTTCTCATAAGGAAGGGATATGGTCAGATGAGATTGACTGACTGAATACTTTTCATTAATGAAATTATTCTCATGGGACATTTTGGTGCGCAATGAATTATTAAAAGCAAGTCGCTTGAAAGCTTAGAGTCGCATATGATTTTAAATAATATCTCTTGGACTTGAAAAATATCTCTTGAGATAGGCAAGACTATAACAATCTCTTGAGAAAGGTAAATGATAGATAGCCTCATGGGGTAATAAGGGAGGATGATAACATGTTTATAAACATGCGATAAGCATGTTTTTCAATCGAATATAAAGATTACAAAAACAATGAAATGGTTCAATCGAAAGAAAAATAAAGATAACAATCAAAATCATCAAAATGGCGACATAAAGAAATTAAAAAATAACAATGATTAAAAAGTAACAACGAATCAAAAATCTAACGTAAGCTCGCTCATATTCTAAAATTAAAGCTTTTTAACGCCAATATCCAAAAGAATTATCAAGGCACATTTTTGCGCATCTTATTTCTTACTCATCTAATCTCTCAACTACGAATTCAAATCAAATCAAACTTATGCTTCTGGTGGGATGTACATTACGACAATACGTTGATGTGTTGATATGACCCACTGCCTTGGTTGCTGTTGTTGTTGTTAGCCGTTATTTGTTTAATCCATCGTTACTGTGTTACGTCGTTTCGATTCTGAAAATGTTAATGAGATCAGTGAATGTGATTGTAATAATAATAGTATTAACAGTAGTGCTGATGATAACAGCAATAACTGTTTGAAAAGCAAAACGTTACCTTTTTGTTGAGGTTAATGATGGCTGTTGT